ATGTGAAGGTGCATTTAACAGATAGCTCGGCTATTGACGATGATGCGCCATCGATTGCATTGTAAAGTGTTGGGTTGCTGGAAGTGACGCCGAAGCTTAGTCTCGACGATTCGGTGAACTGGCCAAGGCCAAGGAGGAAAGAACGATGGACACATGAATGCAGACGTAGGAAGCTGGCAGTGGAAACGGGAGCTCTCATGAACATCTGCCGCGATCTCGTTTCGCCCACCGCCAAATTCCTCGTGGTTTTTGGTGTGGGTTGCGAAGCCAGCACCCCGCGGAGCCAGGGGGCGCGCGGCAGAGGCTGCGCTCGGAGAGGGCCGGTTTCATTTTCCGTTTCGCGGCTCAAAATACTCCAAGGCTCCAAACAGGTTCCCTGGCTCGGCGGGCCGTGGCGGTGCGACAGGCGCGTGGGTTTGAATACGGCCGCGATCCTTTCCGAGTGCCGCGCTAGAGGCGACTCGCCGGGCAGCGAGAAACACCTGCACATCGCAACAACAGGCACTATTTGCACACTCAATCCAGGGCTTGGATATATGTGCAGGGGAGCCTCCTGACGTTGGAAAACATTTTTTCGGCCTCATTGAACTGTTTGAAATGATTAATACTTTTAATTAATTTGCGATTCAAGTATACAATATAATTATTTTAATTGGTTGAATTTTCTGTTTACATTTTTGAAGATGTCTAATTACATTATTAACTCGAAGTTTTAAATGATTATCCGTCATGTATTGTAGATACTACTACAATGAATGTCACTTTCTAAGTCAGTGATCATTCAACATTTTTGATTGTGAATTATCTACACATGAAAGTGATAATTTAAAGAGTTGTATCTATTGAATAACTTTTTATTAAGCTGCGGATTTTTTCCTGTATGTCTATTTTCTTTCTTCTAACTTGAAATACAATATTTTAGATTAAATTTCAATTTGGGGGAATTGGAGTATTATGTGCGTATTGTATATACCTAATAATGCTGGTTTGTGTAGTAAATGATTCTTTGCCTAATAAATGCTTGTTTAGTATAAATGCCTCTCTCTCGCCTATTTTAACGAACATTTTGTATTCTTGTATTGGTTGTCACTTAATAAAAAATGAATTATTGTATAAAGCGTGAGTTTTTTCCAAATTTATTCACCAGAGTGCAGAAAAGATGAACTATCATCCGCAATTCTGTGTTATGTTTTACCATGAGAGATAGGTTTTTTTCGAACTTCGAAGGCCGTGCAGAAACCGTGAGGGGTAGTCGTGTTGTTTGAAGGCGTTTTGCGTGGCCAAGCACTTTTAGTGAGTTGACTTTTCGGAGAAGCGGTGTGAGCGTGGGCACATTGTAATCCCACTTTTTTAAATTTTTTTTATAAGAGTGATGGGGTTTCGTCTACTCTAATATCCTTTCGAACAATAGATAGTTCACTTTGGAGTATATGTAGAAATATCGAGTTGTTCATTGTCATAGTCACACATAAATTATAGAATTATTTTGAGTAATGACATTTCTCTTATTGCATCATTAGCGCAGATTAATAAATTATCAGTGCTATTTGAATCTATATTGGATTTTTTTATACCGATTTGATGCATATTTTATGTTTGTAAGTACCCATTTTGCCTGCCTATTTTTACTATCTTTGGTGCCTAAAAATCCACTGCTTACAAATGAGATGCGAATAATGGTAATACTGACAAAGTATTAGTTTGGATTGAGGTCCAATTAGAGAAATTATAAATAGAAACATTATTATTTCTGTCCTTTATTTTATTTATTTATTATTCTTTTCACGTAGGTAGGAATTTGTAAAAATTTATGTCAAAGAAAAAGGAGATAAAGAACGTTTTTGGTGAAGTTCGTTCATCTGAGAAGACAACTTATTTTGTTAGTCTTTACCACGGCTAAAAAAACTATTTAATACTTGGAAGCACATAATTGGAAACGATCTTAACAATGAATGCCTTGCCAACCGCTGGTTCATTAATTTTAAATGAATGGTGTAAGGCAGTTTTAGTTCACAAAGTCCATTTCCACACGGTCAGTTTGCCGTTTGCCGATCGCCGTGTGGTTCTTTCCCTCGTGGACGAAACCTGCACTACGACCCATGTCCTCGGGCGGATGCTCAGCGTTTCCTGTTCGCATCTGACGCGCGAGGCCCGAGGGGCGAGGCCCGAGGGGCGCGGCCATCAGTTTCTCTTCCTTCCATTGCACACCCTAAATCGTTTACGGCCTGAAAAACAACAAAGAGGATAAGGTTATTCAAGTCAATCAAATGATTTAAAATCTTTATTACATACACCAATAAAAGAAAAAATTTGTGACTTTTTTCCCATGAAAATTAAGCTGTATTTTCAGGGAACAAAATTTAGTCACGGGCAACCATTGAAAGTATATTCACATTATTATTTACGAAGTTTATTATTCATTAGCGCTACGTATCCTTAGGTCTCTATAAAAATATTTGCAAGGGATATCAAATTTTGTTTGATGAAGAAAGCAACTGCGGAATCTATGTAATTTCACATTTATTCGTTCATCCTGGCTACTTCTTTACATTGCCGTCCCTGTGTTCTCAACTGCAGCTAGGCCATTTGAAATAACTGAAGGCGATGTTAATGCGTTCTCTGTTCGTAATTCCAGGGTGAGGTTTGTTTTGTCAACGTATAGTAAGATGTGAGTGCGGGCAGAGCCGGCGCTAGGCTTTGGCGGACCGCGCGATCACTCGCGGTCCCTCAAATCAAGGAGCAAAAGGATTAACAATTTGAAAAAGAAATTAAAGCTCAAGAAAATCGTTGTCATAATTTTATATGTCGCCGTGCAGTAGTCTTCTATCTTTAAATTTTGAATTAATTTTTTACCTTATGTAGTTATTGTCATGAATTACTATATTATAGGATTCTGTAAATTGAGAAATATGAGACAGTTATGAAAATTTTACAAAACAATGCTGTCATTGAAATATTTTTAAGCCTTCATAATTTCGTCTTGTAACATTAAAGATATTTTAACAGACATTTTTGCAAAATTATATTTATTATACAGATATTGGTCATGTATTTTCAATGATTGTTGGCATTGAATGTTCCGAATGAAAATAAAATAACTCTTATCATTTCTTGATTCAAATTCCACCTTTTAATTTTTCCAGGGGCACGTTTCAACATTGCCCCGGGTCCAAAATTGCCCAGCTTCTGCATTGATTATAGGAGATCTCTTGAATACGACAAGTGAAAAATTCTATCTGCTTTTGATGGGTTTAAAAACCTACAATATAAGTAAAAGTGTTATTTAATACAGTGCATGGCTTTATGGCAATATTCCATATTGAAATTATTAAATGTGTTCAAACAATTGCCACCGCGACCGGTTTACGAAGCCGGGTCTCCTGGTGTACGCCCAGTTGCTCTAAGGGTGGTGGGCCGCGTTGGCTGCTGGCCTCGGGGCCTCCCGTCCACCTGGTCGAACGGCCAGCCCGACGCTGCGTTCGCTGCCTGCGGGGTCGCCACCTGAGTGAATCTCTGGCCCTTCCAGGAACAGGCGTCGCCGCCGCCGGGAACCTGACGGACTGCGTACAAGACCTCTTTTGTTAGCCAGGTGGAATTTGTAATGGCGGACTACTTCCACCGTGTGATTGCGAGAGCCGTTTGCTGAAAGTGGAGCAATTTGCTAGTGGTGGGTCTCGTTCAACGGTTTTAACAGTGCTGGCGGAGATGTAGATGACGAAACCTATGTTATTGGAGAAACAAAATAAGTGTCTCTTTAATGGACTACTTTTTGTGTGCTTTTTAAACATTCGTGTTCTGTGTAATTTTGATATTAACTTTTTAGTTTATAATCCATATTATATCTTGAATACGCAAATAGCAAGTTCGCAAATAGGTGTGTTCTAGAACGTTTTTACAGATTGATTCTCCCCAACATTACTGTAGTTCATTCATACATTTTTTTCAATCTTTAAGCAATTTAGTTGTTTTCAATCAACCGGATGACCTCAAATATAAGAATTAATCGTTTTCACTATTATCCTGTCTTGTAGACTTGAGAACATGACTCCGAATTGTGACTAGCCAAATGCATGATGTCCTCGTTTTGAGAAGATCAAGGCTTATATTTGACAGAACTCTCTACTGATGTAGGTAAACTGTCATTCAAGCATAACAGTACAGTTTTCTCTAAAATTCTTGTCAATGATACAACTATGACATTTTACGACACAATCTACATTTCCTACACACTTATTTAAGAAAATATTGCGACTTACGTACGTAAATGAAAGGGTTCTTTGTGGTCAAATTTAATATTACAATATACCATTTAGTTAAAATAATGAAGCATATATGGACAAAGATAATTTATATCTGTATTTTCGGAAGTTGAAATGTTGGGTTGGATGTTAGTTTAGAGATGGAATAATGAGTCAAGTTATTGTAAACAAGATTGGTATTTTCAAGCTAAAATCAATTAATTAGATCAAATGGACTCAGTGTCAGGTTAAAATAAGTATGTGTAATAAATAAATAAATGGTAATATAAAAATGAATGTCTGGTAGCTTCGCCTAATCCACTGTTACCAGTATATTTTTTCTATGAGCTAAGGTATGTGGATGTGAATAGAAGACGTGAATACAATGTAACGAGTATAGGTTAGAACAGATAGTAAGATAGCAAGAGTACAAAAATGACGTTCATTTGCATTTAACCAGCTGCGATTGTGGATTACCTGATACACGGGGCCCTACGTTGCTCTGAGGCCGAAGTCGGAGTTTCCTTGCCACTGCCGGCCGTTGAAGCGCGTGCGTGGGAGTGGGAGAATCGCGAGTGATGATCGTCCATGGAATTACGTAATTTGCAATACCCGAAGTCGGCGATTCTTACCACAAGTCGAATCTATGTATTTGCCGCTTAAATTGTCGTGTATGTGAGCTTCAGAAAAAGAATGTCCAATTGAAAAAAAAATTGGCAGTTCCTCGCTGAGTGCAGTGGGGGGGTTTTGTGGTGTGCGCAGGCAAGGTGTACGCAGTGCTGGCGCGGAGGCACGGGCGCGTGCTGCACGGAGACGCGCTGGAGGGCTCGGCCAGCTTCTGCGTGGAGGCCGCGCTGCCCGTGGTGGAGAGCTTCGCCTTCGCGCCCGAGATCCGCAAGCAGACGTCCGGCCTGGCCAGCCCGCAGCTCGTCTTCAGCCACTGGGAGGTGAGTAAACAGCCACATTATGCAAGAAAATGTTTATTGGGGAGACATTATTATGCTACAGATTTCACATAAATTCCAGTGTGTATTTCCTGGAATATTATGATAATTCCTTTCACTTTGTTTACGTTCTATTATCGAACTTCTTTTTATATATTGAATAACCTTACTGGTTGTGTGGCGTGAAGTGCTCTTTCGTGTGGGGTGTGTCAAAGGCGAACAGACCTTCATGCATGCTTGGAATATCAGGAAAACCTTCAAAACTCTATTGACTTATCCATCATTGTGTATTCGTGTTGTAATATAGTAAAACGTTACATGAAAAAATCCTCTACGTGCTTTCGGTTCGAAGAAAAAACAAACGAGTATGTGGAAATATCAGACGTCTGCAAGAACACAAATACGTTGTACCGACCTATGAATTTGATATATCGCAAGCAATGTTAAAGCCGCTCTCTGCATCTAGCGCGGCGGGCTGAGGGCAGCCGGAACTCCCTTCCCCTTCCCCTGCCCTCTTTTCCCTTCCCCTTCCTTGGCCTTGGCCGTGCTCTCGCGTCACAACCGTATGTTATCCCCCGGGCCGCAAGAAATATGGGACGCTATAGAGCTACAAATTAGCCCGGAAATCATTAGCAGTTGCGGCAAAAGCATTAAGGATTTAATCACGGATTTCTGGAACTCCTGCACTCACCAGCTGCTAAGGCTTACTGAGTACATTGCACAGAGCTTCCAAGAGAAAAAACA